CTTTCTTCTGATAGGTCTTGGACTGTACATACCAGAACATGATTCTTTCGGATTAGAGGCAGGTCAGTCCATCAAAATGCCTGCGTGGATAGTGCTAAATTTGACTTAGTCATTGTAAAAAACAGGTCATGAATGCGGGGCGGGCGCAAACTATTGTCGTCATCGAATTGCCTGATCTCTCATTCGTCTACCAATGGACTTTGTTTATGTGTCCGCAACGTGGGCGCTCCGAAACGATAGTGACACTCATATCTCGCAATAGACGGGCTACCGAGCGGGCTGTATAAGAGCAGCATGGGACAGAAGAACGTAATATGCAATGGAAGCATGAAGCGCTGGCTCGTAGTGCCGGATGACCTGGTGAGTGGGAGAGGAAAACGGGCTGCCTAGCACCGCTTTACTTCCAGAGTAGTACAGGGTTAATTACGTGAATACTGATTGATTTATTGTACTCACAGCACGAGTACTAGTCAAAAGTTCAGACACGGGTTTCACCGATTTTGCGCTGCTGCGTCTGACGGATTTCAGTTTGACTATTCACTTCAACTCTCAGACCGAACACAAAATGGTCTGTGCATAAGAGCTTACTCTTCTTTTGCGCATTAGTCTCTGGAGCTCTTAAAAAGCTCGACGTTAATTACGTGCTTCATCTGACGCCTAATCTAAGTAACGTAAGCGACGGACTGATACAGCGTGAAAGGGTATGCTTATCGTTAATACTGTAAGTATTTGTGGCTAGTGTTTGCCAGGTGATTTCTAAGTGGACATTCTGGAGCAATCACTTTGACATGTGTTTTTACTGACAGGGATGTTAAATGTCCTTGCGTGCCTCCAACACATTTGCGTTCTCATTTACAGGGTGGTGCAAATGGGATTGACGTGCGTAGTTCAACTTTTTATACGAATAACTGCTACAATTATATAAATCATCGAAAATAGGGGCCTAGCTCAGCCAAAAGGATCGAGCTGCCGATCCTACGAATGCGGGTCGCATGTAGTGCGTGTGAACTATTGCAGTTTCGTTTGCCAGTTAGCATCCCCTTCTTTTCAGTTCGAGCCACTGTTAAGTTCACGACCAATTTCCAATGTGCAGGAGGAGGACGCTTGAGCAGAACATCAGGCAGTTAGGTCTTCAACACCCCAAAGATGTGTCACGTTGACCAAAAATAGACCACATAGAACAATATAATGGAATTACGTTTTGCATCCAATTGGATTCAGGGGGCGGGGATTGGTTATCTGTAGGTTCCTTTTCGTTAGTGGAAACCTAAATGTAAGCCAAGAGTTTCGTCTTTTGTCTAACCTGCCTCTCCGCTAACTTTTTTCTGTCTAGACGTTCAGACGCCCGCCAAATTTATGGCGCTGTTACTCAGCATGGAGCAACTGTTTATACAGCTTTCTGAAAGCTTGCCTCACTCCTCTGCACTTAGGCCACCCCCCTCCCGAAATGAAAGCGATCCGGCCACTCCAAATCCACAGTCAAGCAGGAAATAAGCGGCAGAGGCTCCCGTTCGGCGCTAGCTGTGCACCACTCAGAAATTCGAAGTCAGCGTGTGAGGAGGCATGCTATAGCCTTCATTTATTGTACATTTCACGAAATTTACCTTATAATTACATTCTAGTTATGTTCAACTCGGTTGCATTTTTATATTCTTGTCCACATGCACTACTTCACTTGACAATAATTTCCCTCAACAATTGGATTTCATTCCTATTTATGCTTCCAGAGCTCTACATAATAACTACCCCGGCTTAGACAGATAGTCGCTATCGTTTTAATTTGTGCCCACGGCATAGCCGATTGGTGGTTCATCTTTCGTTGCATAAGGCGTCATGAAGAGTGCAGATTGAGAACAACGGGTTTTTCTCTTGGGGCCTCGGTAATTTAGGGTTTCCAGTCACATTTGTTCCATATGAAAGGCACCTGGGTGATTTGATAGTCGGATATCATTTGGACACGAATTAACATTGGCAGTTGAAGATTTTCTAGGAGGCCTAAATACGTAGTAGATTATTAGACTCACGTGCACGAATTCCTGGAAATTGGTGCAACTGATCATATTTGTGCATATTACGCCAAGAAACTTGGTGTTTCTTACTTTCCTCAGCTCCCTTCATTGTAACTTGCATTTTGAGTATTTCTGTAGTCCAGTACGCCTATTCATACCAAGTACTTTTTCCGTTCCAGTCGACGGCAACTCTCTTCATCAGACCGCGTTCAACAGTTTAAGTGTTCGACGTAGAATATCCTCGACTTCTTAATACGGAGAAGTGATGACATGGTTGACCGTTGTGTTCGTATTGGTTTGAGCGGTATGATCGTTTGTTATGCCATGGACAAAGAGGTGTCCAACCTAGACGATCATGGCCGATAAAAAACACGCACAGTGAGGGCATGCAGTGGATTGCTTAGTGCTGGCAGCGTAACCCGGCGTACTGACTATACTGCCTTCGGCTTGCGGTGGTTTCAAGGGTGTATCAGACATCAGTAACGTGGGAGATGGATTGGTAATGGTGATATTCCCGCGTATCCGTGTGCACGCATACGGCCGAATAGGTCCATGCGGTGCCCGAATGCCCTGGGGCAGTGCAGACAAGGGATATATGAGTGCTGGGAATATGTTGAGGCGCCAGGCACTGATTTGCTGATCACAGCTGAACAGAGTAGCAAATGATCGGCAGAACCCAGGCTTGCTTCGAGGAGGTGTGCTGGTTGTGTGGACATTACACTGGGTCCGGATATGTCTAAAGAGGTCAGGTCGTGCGTGGAGTGTCCGTTAATAATGAGGGCAGGATGGTAGAGTCTGGAGGCTTGAGTCTCTTGCGCTCTGCTCTTGAGTCATATGAGTCTCTCCGTTGACCTTGTCGGCAGCTATTCGGTTGGCCTCGAAAATGGCTGTTCTGCTCTTTACGGCAGCGTGCCACGTCTTCCTATCTTCAGATAGGCCTTTCCAGGTCTATAAATCGACTTGTGGGTTTTTAAGGTGGATCTCCAGGCTGCTCTTGTAACCGCACTTTTGTTCACCGTGTCTGCCAGCATCCGTAACTATGCCGGCGTAGAACAGATGTTTGGAAGGACACTCGTTCTTCATCTCCCCCACGTGACCGCTCCATCGCAGTTGTAATTGTCTTAACAAAGCGTTAATACTGAGAGCACCGGTTCATCTCAGGATCTCGGTTTCCAGGATCCTTACCTGCCTTTCCACCTCTTTTATTCCCCAGAGACACCTGAGATAAGAACGACTAAGCCATCCTTTTAGGGTTTTGTAGACTATCCATGTCCCGACGCCGTAGAAGAGCACAGTCAGGATTACAACCCAGTATATCTTCAGTTTTTTGCTGGAAAGGATGCTGCGGCCATTGGAGACGGGGTGCTGTGATTAACTGCAGGTCTGGCCCGTCTGGAGACTCGACTCTACATTTTCGTCGTCGACGTTTATATTTCTTGAGGTTGCACTCGGTTGATGATTGTCGAGTGAAGAAAAAGAGGCACACATTGAGCTGTATGTAATCCTCAGCTGTGATGTTCGGCTCGCGGTCATCCGCACTGAAAAGGTTTCAGACACTGGCGGAGAAACTGAGGCTAAACAGGGTGCGAGCGAGTACACAGCCCCGCTAAAACCTCTGTCACTAAGAATGCTTTCAAAACTGACACGTTTTTCATGACGCATGAAGTCTTGCAGTTGTTTTACTACCTACGTGAATCTCTCCGGACATACGAACTTCGGGGTGATTTTGGAGAATCTACCGCGGTCTGTGGTGTTGAAGAACCTTGCCGGATGTATAAAGAGGCAGATTTGCGTTTCTTGGCACCTTTCTTTCAGTTGGCAGGACACAAATATGTTCGTGTTTTCATGGTGCTTCCGAAATTCGTATTTTGTTTTCCTTCGCTTGGGAACGGTAGACTGTTTCCGGCCGCGAAGGATTTCCTCATCTAACAAGTGTCCGCACATACCTGAGTTTATTCGGTTTCGCGAGTTAGCCGGTCGTTCTGCATAGTACTTGAGCTCTACTTCACTGGGCTTCGCAGTCTGAAGCGAGCTGCCTCATTGGTGTTGGTCCTGTTGTGGGTATAGGTCAGAGAACAGGGGTCGGGTTTCTTCGTCGCTGCCGTCGAACCAGTCTTCGAGCTGTCAATGTATACGACCAAGGATTTACAGTGAGGTGACAGGAAAAACTTGCCGCGGTTCCCTCCAATGGTACTCGACGTTATACATCTTGTTAGGATTACATTTATTACATTTCCAATGTCAAATGGTTGCTAAAAATTCAACCTTCTTTCCCTCGCATGAAATAATAGACTATTTAACTTACCTCGTGTTTACTTGGCTCGCGAACATTTTCGATGAGCTGAGGTTGAAGTGATTGAGGCTTCGTGCCTGCTTCATGTACACCGTCCAATTCTCAACTCCATTTATCAGCGTCGGCAGAATGGTCGCTTTGTACATCTTTATTTTGGTGCTGATGTGGGGACCGTGTCGATTCCAAACTGTATTTCGCAGAGGGCCAAAAGCTTGGCTGACCTAAAAAATCCGGGGGACCACTTCATCGCCGATTTTGCTGTTTCGGGAGAGGATGATGCCTAGGTAGGTGAAGTTGTCCACCACTTGCAGTTGGGTTCCGTTCACGCTGATGTGAAGTGCGGTGTAGGCAGCGTCGGGTGGCAGTTGATGCATAACCACCGTCTTCTCCGTGTTGATGATTAGGCCGAGGTTGTCACAGGCGGCACGGAGAGATCCACGCTCCTTTATATGTCCCCTTCCGAGGTGGCATTGAGAGCGCAGTCGTCAGCGAAGAGAAGCCCATGGACGGAAGTTGTGGATACACGTGACTGGGAGTGCATCCGTCGCTGTTTTAGGAGGTGACCGTCCGTCCTGTAGGCGACGCGGATCCCGGGGGCTGTTCGTCACGACAGGCGTCCATCAGCATGGCAATGAAAATGAGACTGAAGAGGGTAGGCGCGAGGATGCAGCCCTGATTCACTTCGTTGGTCACTGCGAATGCCTCTGATACGACCCATTGCCCGTGACGCGCTCCGTCATGCCATCGTGGAGCTGACACACCATCTGAGTGAATCTCTCAGGACAGCCGAATGTTTGCATGATTTTCCACAGTCCTTCGTGATTCACCGCGTCGAAGGCTTTCCTCAGATCCACGAATGTAGAGTAGAGATGGACGTGCATCTCCTGACACTTCTCCTGCAGTTGGTGGGCGACGAAGATCATATCGGTGGTTCCGCGACAACGGCGGAAGCCGCAGTGGATTTCCGGCAGGAGACCCTGTTCCAGGTGGTTGTTCAGACGGTTGAGAAGAATGTGAGCGAAGATTTTCCCGGCGAGGTCCAGCAGGACGATGCTTCAGTGGTTGTCGCAGATTTGGAGGTTCAATTTCCTGCGAGACTTCTCCTTGATGCCACCTCTCCTGGAAGAGCGCCATCAGATGATCCTTGAGTTGGGGGGCCGCTGTGCTTGTGGATCTCAGCAGGGTTCGTGTTCGATCGGGGCGCTTTCCCGCTGGTGAGCTGTTACACGGCCTTGGAGGTTTCTTGTAGGGAGGACCTAAGGTCGATGTCGGCGTTAGTCTGGACTTGAGGCAGACGGGAGATGACGGAGTCAGAGATGATGGAGGGACGGTTGAGTACGCTTTTGAAGTGCTCGGTCCATCGCTGTAGGATTTGTGTCTTTTCGGTGGGTAAAGTACTTTCGCCAGCCCTGAAATGAGGAGCAGTTCCTTTGGTTGGAAAACCGTAGACAGTCTTGATCGCGGCAAAGACGTTCTTCCATTCGTGTGGGTCCGCGTTTGTTTGGATCTCCTTGGTCTTCCGAGCCGTCTAAGCGTTCTGCATTTCACGCAGTTGCTGTTGCACGACGCGGCGGCTACTGCAAAAGGCTGGTTTGTTGTCGTCCGTGGGGCGGTCGACGTGGGCTTTGTGCAGGCGGTTCTTTTCGGCGAACATGTTGCTGATGGCGGCGTCGTCGTCGCACCAGTCCTGATCTTGGCAGCATGCGCGACCGAGGACAGTCAGGGCGGTCGACTTCACTGTGTCCTTTAGTTGGCACCTTCGGTTCTCCACGGAGGCGTTCTCGTCGGCGGCGGCGGCGGCGGCGGCGGCGGCGACGGTGACTGGAAGTTCGAGTAGCCCATGGGCTACTTTATTGTTGAAATGGAAATGGTGAGCAGGCAAGGACAACAAGACAATATTCAAATTACCTGAGGGTCGCTTACCTTGTAGTCTCCTCCGAGGCTGTAGGTGAATCCTCATCTTGGAGATGGTGAGGTTGTGGTCGGTCTACCCGTCGGCTTCCGCGATCGCCTTTGTCACCAGCACGTCCTGGTGATATTGCCTCCAGACGAGGACATAGTCCTGCAGGTGTCTCTGACGCGACCGGGGATGCATCCAGGTGGCCTTATTTTGCAACGGCAGGCGGAAGAACGTGTTGGTTAGGGTAAGGCGGTGTTCTGAGCAGGTTCTTAGGAACAGTGGGCCATCGCCACTGGAGCCGTAGAGACCATGGGAACCCATCACTCCTCTCCAGACACCATGGTCTGTACCGACTCGTTGAAGTCAACAAGGGCAGTCAACTTGTCCGCCTTCGGCACAGTCGCTCTAGAAGAAAGTGTGCCCTGCACCTACCTCCTCTAGCTGGCCTTGTTCAGAGAACCGGGTCTCGCTGAGTGCGGCGATTTCCATCTAGTTGTGCGCCTATTACTGAGCCACTAGCGCTGTTTTCAGTTCCGATCGATTGCTACTTGGATTGCCTAAAAGGGCACGAACGTTCCAAGCTGCCAGAGTGAGCGGGTTCACCGTACCAGCCTGTGGGGTAGGGTGACGGGGAGCAGGAGGGGGAAGAGATAATACTATTTCTTGTTTGATTGTTGCGACGGTGTGTTTTTGCGTCTGTGAGCCACGGTCATCGAGCAGGGGATGGGATCCAACATTTGTTTGGGGCGCCTTTTATATCCCCGTCCCCCTTGTGGGGTGAGCATTGCTCTCCCTAAATAGAGCTGCACAGTTTTCCCAGTTGGTTGCCGAACTCCTCTGTGGATCACGACTTTATTTAGTGAGAGGACGATCCGAGTTAGCCTGGGCCGCCTACGTGATCGCTGTCGCTCTAGGCGTAGGACTTTTGAGTGGGGGGGGGAATGGGCGAAGGGTAGAAAGCCAGGACGCAGTTTCCCGTTCTCCCCTAAGCTAACCGGTTGCTTCGTTGGGGTCCACACGATGTCCGGGATCGACAACATTGGTCACACGAGCCGGCGCTTATCCAAGAGAATACGAGAACACCTCCCTGAATTGCTGGGAAAAGGCGAAATGAGGATCATAAGCAGTGCCATTCTTGCGCATGTTGTCGATTCCGGACAACAAAGCTTTTCGTGTGATTTATAAGGTCCCATCGAGCTATCCGAAGCTACTAGGCCAGCGCCTGTTAGGAACAGCATAAGCGGCCGCCATCATGTTACGAAAGCCAATCTTATGCGCACAGAAGAACCACCATCAGGCTCCACGCCTACAGTGGTCGAGGGTGGACTAACGCTGCAACTCTTCGCGCCCTTCCGCTCTCACCCCGGCCCTGACACTGACTGCTATTATCTCCCCCCTACCCCCACCCCTTCCCCCACATTCATACACCCCGCCTGTGTTTTAAGGCGACCTTTTATCGCTGACATGTTTTACTTCTAACCCGTTACCATATAACTGGTCCGACGAGAATTTATCGAAAGCTACTTATGCTCGTCACCTCGTCTTCTAATCAGTTAAAGTAGGGCACTGAACATGAAAGACCAAAAATGTGGTGGAAGGCGCGATAAGGCAATTTTGCAATATGACGACGCTAGATCCTACGCTGTACAAGGAGTAAAGGAAAATTTGGAAACATTTCTCTGCGAAGTGTATTCGATACGGCTCTACCATATTATCATTTGTTTCGGTAGATGTAATATAGCGCTGCTGGGCACCACTTCAGTTTCTATGCAGAATTCAAAAACTGGCTAAATCAATGAATTGTTTTAAAAAATCACGAGTCTTCTACCATGGAATCCATTTACTATCCGAGAAGTGGGAATTAGTTATTGGTACCAACGGAAGATACTTTGCATCAAATATAATGTGGACTTACTTTTAAGTAAACGTTGTTTTCTTTCACAAAACCGGTATGAATTAATTCCCATTCTTAACACATACAGTATGTGACCTAACTCAGGAAACGCGATGGCGCGAACTGATATGATACTTTCTAGACACCTAAGACGTTGAGCGTTTTGCTCATTCGTCCAGCTTCTTCTGGAAAATGTTCTTTTTCATGTGACATTTGTGTCCAAGTAATTTTACCAGGCAAAATGTGCTGTTGCACGATGATTAAAATAGCAATCCTGATTAAGTAATATTCTAGAATCAAAAATATATTTCAGAATTTCAGTTAGCATTTCATGAAACAGCATATCTACTCTGCATGAAAGTAAGTAGAAATCTACTTTGACTTATGTTCGGACAATTTTCCACGTCAAAAGCCCCCCTAGACTTAGTTTGCGCATTCAGGCCTTTTTGTTCTTAGAGATGAAGGTAATTTAACTTATAGAACTTTGTCAAACAGAAATTGTCGCACTTGAGGACTGATTTTTGGAGACATTAACCGTGGGAAGTAAGTTGCGAGCAAACAGGTTATTTTCAGAAAACTAGATGTTTGAGTAATTTTTAAAAGTCAGATTTACCAATCTGTAATCCTTGTCCATGCAAACGACTGAGCAAAAAACAAAATGGAGATAGCACCGTTTAAGAAAACATTTCTAGATAACCACCAGGATAACCTTTCTTCATGAATTAATTCAGCATGCAACATGGAAGCTGATAAACTGCTAGATGGTTGATTATCTTTTCCAGAGCGGTGTTACGAGAGCTAGATGTAATTTTTTCTCCCACACATTATTCAAAATGTGTTTGGTCTGCGCGAAAATGATTTTAATTGATTGCCCGTTTAGGAGAGTCGCGGGCATAAGTTTGCGCAAGGTCGTGCGTTGGGCAGCTGGACAGCAGTCAAAAAATTTAAATACGACTAGAAAATGAAGTTATATGCATGCTATTCCCTGTGTTAGGCGAAGGTTATTTCTGAAAATCTACTATGTACTTTCTGGTGACGATGGAGTTTGCCGAAGTTCAGGGCGTCCTTAAATATCGGTGAATACTTCGCAGTTCTTAATCGATTGTCAAGAAAGGCAGACCTTGAAAACTTTCATGCTTGAAGTGAAGCTTGGGTTTTTTTGCGGCTGGCGAATGAGTTCATATTTGTAGGTCTGCAACAATATGAAACCTGGTCTCCAAGAAAGGAATTTGCACAAGGTTTGTGTTGAATACGTTTTTGATCAGGCATAGAACCTCCCTTGTCATGTAATCTCTTCATAACATGCTTTGCAAAGGTACTTTGATGATTAGTGTCCGCACCCTTTAGCAGTTTAAAAGTAAAGTCAAGAAGAAAATGCCAATATTTGATCAGCCTGTCCACTTCCCGTGGATACCGATGAATTTTGCGGCGCAGGCCAAAGAAAATGCCATTTTCTCTTTGGTTTGGAAATTCTCTCACTTTTGCTTTCTTTTAGGCCCTTTTCTACGATTATACATGCTGTACAGAGGACTACCTAAATATCAAACAAATTTCATTTTGGGAACTATGGGATATTTTCATAGTTCCGAACCATTCGAGCCTGAGAAATTAAAACATTGCCTTTTCACAATATGACTGAATTTTCAGACGCAAATGTGCACAGGTGTACAAAACCCACGTTTCAGAAGAAACGGTTTCCATTCTTTTGAAAATGACATAGTTGCTAGCATCTTGTTTCGTCTAACTTAGCCTACATAAGAACCAAATTACAAGTTTGCAGAGGTTGTTTTTGGTAAACTTTTCCGATGTAGATTAGCGCTATCTACACTCGTTAATAAGCAGATGTAGTTTACGATAATTATTAGCAAAGGGAACTGCCTACAGACAAAGGGAGTGGTTTCCCGCCTTAACTTGTGTATTTTTGCGAACAAGATAATCAATAAACGTGAGGGAAAAGATTTTTACGTTTTGTATTTTGCTAATATGTACAATGCACGATATTTGAGATGCCCCGGGCTGGTAACCTAGATTTTGGTTGTCACATTTCATGAATCACGTCACATACTGTGTATGAGGGTGACATCCTTCGATAACTGGAAAACCACTCCTTTCACCACATATGCATGGACAATTGAGTCAGTTTTCCTGGAAGTTTTCGGTCACGGTATTCGTAGATCGCATCTAGGAGCTAGTCGGCTTGCCGAACATTTCACTTAGCGTTCACTATACTGCACTGCGACATTGGACGCAGACCAATGTCAGTCTTGAATCCAACATGCGGTGGCCTACTGGAAACTACTCTGCTGATTGAAAAACATTATTTAAGGAGGCTTTGAAAGGGCTGAGCACAGCCGTACAGGATAGGGACTCCTATGACCACGGCGCTGTTTGAACTGAGTTGAAAGGAAACGACTTTCGAGGGGATTGTGGTTTGTAAACCGTCTCCACGATCGCGGAGATGTTCCTTTTTGCTGAGGTTGGCATATTCCCTGATTTCCTTTGTCTTGCTGTTTTGCCAAAAGCCTCTTAGCGTCTTCATCTTTTGAGTTTGGCCAAAGCGACATTGGCCAAGGAAAACCAGTCGTTATCACACGTTCAATGAAATCCCTTCTTCACAGACAGTAAGCGCTGAATTTTCTCATCACTCTCGTTCTTCCGGTTTAACCGGCGTGCGAGTCCGAGGTCCTTTATGGCATTAGCATGGATTGTGTATCACGGCATGCAACTGGTATTGTAAACACTGTCGTGCTCGCGAAACACTTGTCTTACTTTTTTGCCCCTACCGAAGGTGCATTATTGTCTACGGGCTGCCTTCTCCAGAAGACCTCTGTTCATCTATTTTGGGGCCCTTTTCTACCATGGACGTTTATGTTACGGTATTCGGAGTTTTACCTCAACGATGGGTAGCTCAACACTTCGACCCCGTCTTACCTTTGTGGCTAGAGGATCCGTGCAGTTGTTCCATTTGAATAACGCATACTTTAGTAAATAAAAGTGACGCAAATGTGAAGGTATGCATCTATGCTGGTTTTATGGTCAGAGATATGAACACGCTGTTTGGGATTCTACGCAGGTTTTAAGCAGACGGAGTCCGTTGTATTTACAACTGTCGGTGCTAATGACTGCTGATCATTTCTGCCAAGTGACCTGGTCCGCACCCAATCAC